ATAATAATAATAATAATAATAACTGATATTTGTCACTGTGCTTGTTTATCAAGGTGATATATATCAGTAGTGTATTGCTAAAAGGTGAATTTAACAGATGTACAAGTATATATTATTTCTAATAAAAACCACACAATGACAACCTACAATTATGACAAAGACTGAGTAATTTTGATAAGAAAAAAACCACTTTTAAGATTTGACCTTTTGATTATTAGTGCTTGTATTAATGTATCAAACAGTTTGTGTGTTAATTCTTACCTTAATATCACGTCTTCCTAGTAGTGACAGGTTACTAATATCTGATAATGATTCATCAGGTAGGATCTCCTTCAATCTTGTACTTGTTCCATTATCATCAACTATGCACTTTTCTCCTTTGTCAATAGCAGACAGTATCTTTTTCACGCTATACACTGTCCTTTCTCTTGGTGTATTCACAGGATAGGCTAGTTCTTTAGGATCAATAACTAACTCTTTTACCTCTAGACTGGGACAGGATTCTTTATAAACACTCATTACCTCTCCTATCACATCTCTTCCTACTGACATCATAAAGTCTTCTTTAAAGGACATCATTACTAGTACACACTGGCTCTCATCCACAATCTCTACCAGTGATCCTACACCATGACTATTAGACCAATAAAGTCCATTCTTCCAAAATGTACAGTAACGATTTATCTTGTCATCTTCTTGAGGTAGAGCCATTTTATAAGCAAGATGTAACGAGAGGACATGGAAGTATCGAGGAGGAAAGAAATAATGTTTACTAGTACACTGTAGACACCAACCAAACTGGTACACTTGACTAGTCATCTCATCAGGTCTATCAGTAGACAAAAGACATGGAAAGAACAACAACCTTTCTCCTCTTCTTTCTGTCCCTCCCTCCTCCTCCTCTTCCACTGCCAGCTGATGGAGGTTTGTCATTGTTAGGAAAGATGGATTTATTTGTTGACAGAGTTCCATGTTCTTGAGGAAACAGATCAACATGTCAGGATCATATTTAGGGAAGAGTCTAGTCAGACCAGACACACTAACAATACCAGTATTGCTAGCAATGTCAACATGTTCTTTGAATGTCTCTGGAGCAAAAAGAATCCCATCCACCTCAGTTAGCAGTATACCCTTATTCACAACAACCCATACCTTGTCTTCACTTTTAAGAACACTGATCAAACCAGTTGAGTGCAATGAATGAAGAGCATCCAAGACGTCTTCTCTCTTATCTGATAAATTGTAATCATTATTTTCCTTACCAGCAGACATTACATCAGAGAGGGTCAGTATATTCTCTTTCCTTTCCTCCAGTAGACCATACGTCATGTGACAATAAAGACTCAAATTCCTTCCACTTGTACTACGAATGGACTCACAGGCACTAGACAACTTATTAAAGAAAGAATCCATACCACTCCCACCAAGCTTACGACAATCTAAGAAGACACTATCACACCTTTCCCTTACAATAATCTCCTGTATTTCTTCCTTTCTCCTTCTCTTTTCAACAGGATTACTTATCTCATCCACATGACTGACTATTACAATAACATGGCATTGATTAAGAGCTTTGTGTGCTTCATTTGTGACAACTGTTAGCCACTGGTGAAGCTGTTTGACTGGTTGCTTCTCCAATATATTGACTACTATCAGGAACACACCACCAGAACCTTGTAACTGATTCTCAATGACAGCACTGTGACTGGAGTAGTATTCTGAATGACCAGCAAAATCATGAAGATTGATGTTACCCAGTGTCCTGTGTCGTAGTTTATAAGGAATGATACCAGCAGTACAGGGCACTACCCCTCCAACATTTCCAAAGGAACCAAGAAGAGTAAAACTAGCTGTGTCATTGATGACATGACTAAGAGTACTTTTACCAGCTCCAGGATTACCCACAAGGAGGATGTTAACATAAGACTCAATTGGATGAGATGATTTTATATCACCAAACTTCTTAAAGATAGGAAGAGTATTACCCCAGCCTCTCTGCTTTGCCTCTTTAGCTACTTGTAATGGTGTTTTCCCCTCATTGTTTTTAGCCAATGGATCACATTTACCAGTTGATAGTAAACATTCAACAATTTCAGAATGACCCCAATGAGCAGCATAGTGAAGTGGTGTTGACCCCCAGCTGTTAGCAGTCATTGGATCATAGTTACACTCATTAATTAGATATTTTATTACATCAGGTGAATGAGGTGGCGGTGAGTTGGTTTTAGCTGTGTAATGAAGAACAGTTTCACCCTTATAGTTAGTAGCCATTAGATCACAGTGATGATCTTTGATTAAATACTTCATTGCATCAAGTGATCCATAAGTAACTACTTTGTAAAGGACAGTGTCCCCATACATATCAGTAGCCATTGGATCACAGTGACACTCATCAATGAGATATCTTAACACATCAACATGATTACCCCTTGCAGCATAATGAAGACAAGTCTGACCTACATCATCTTTTTCCTGTGGGTCACAGTGATATTCAGTGATGAGATCTCTTGTAACATCTAACCAACCATTCCTTGAAGACAAATGAAGTAAACTAGTATTATCCCATTTCATATATCTTCTTTTAATTTTATTTGGTTCCTTCACTAATGGTAGTAAGTGAACAGCTTCTTTATAATCTCTATCCTTAAACGCAGTCCAACACTTGTCCTCCTCTAATGGCATCTTGTGTCAGTTAATCATAGTACATATACTATGATTATCATAACTGAGTGGGAGTGGACTGGGCAAACACATACTGCTTATCATGTTATCCATGGTTAAAAAACTTTTTCAACATTGATGTGTACCATGATTATAGTAAACTTAAGAGCTTGGCTAAATCATCAGTCTTAAATACATTCAATAATTTATTGGTCACTTTAATTTAGTGATTTAATATCTCTGCTTAAATTAGAACATGCATTTAATCTAAATAAAGTAATTAATTTTGTGTAAGGATTTGAATTAAACAGTCCAAAGAGGTTCATAAATAATGTCAATGTATGTGTGTCACATCATCTCTTTAAGATACTTATTTCCTGACCATTACCCCATATTACAACAGCTTTCTTCAGTGTGATCACACCACATCTCTTCCAAGTCTCATGCTATATTGGTGAAGGATCATCTCCACTGTACTTTACCATCAATTGAAGGCAAGGAGGTTTAGTTGGTGACAGTGAATTGAAAATTATCTCGAGAATTGACTGAATTACCTTAAAAGAAACTGTCAAATCATTTGCTGACACAATACTGAACAATAATCTTAAACTATCAGTGTTAGTATCAGTATCAATATCAATAGTGATCTCATTTACTTTGATTGATTTCACTTTAGAAAATAAACAGAGTGCATCATTGCTCCTAATCTTCAATGATTTCAATACAATGTACTGAGGAAGAAAATTAGACTCAAGAATACGAGAGGATTCACTTACACTTGTATATAAATACTCACGAGCTATATCAAGTGATTTTGATTGTTGTTGAGTGTTGATAGCTAGAGGATCACTAGAATCAAACATAATCTTATCCAATCTAAGTGTGAGAGGATAAGGAGAGAGGAAGAATGCAGACAGTAAGGAATGGACACCATTAAATGAAGTGGATGATGTACCAGGGGCATCTGTAGATGAGTAGTCTTTGATATGCAATTGCTAGAAGCATGGTCGATACATTAGTTTTGATAAACATTGAATAAAGTTCTTATCATAAGTTTCAGACCTAATTGAGACCACTTCTAAATTTTTATGGTGTTGTATAACTTTTTAAAAGTTTTGAGCATCTTCACTATCAAGGTGACCCACTTTTAGTATCTTCAGGTCACATTACTCAATTATTCCTCCACCAAATTTATAGTGTGTTAGCATATAAAATGCCTTTTTGCATGTATAGTAACCATTTTTCTATAAAAATTTGTAGCGTGAGCTGATTCATCGTGACATCACATCAGAACTCATGAATATTCATAAATTATCTTTGTATATAATACATGCTGTGTAATTATTATAATCAGTGTTTGGGTGTCAACATGAGTCATCGTTAGCTCTCTCTCTCTCTAGCGCAACAATCCTGTCTGCCTTCATGCTAGGCACTAGCCAGCATCTCATATTCTCTTAGCTTTTATCTTATTCGCTAAACATTTACTGTATATGTATTTGAGTATAGGTGTGTGTATAAGCATACTTGTATACATACATTATTGTTATGATTATGTAGATCTACAATACTATACATTGTACTACTGAGTAAAAAGTGACTCTGCCTACATTTCAACCAATAAACTGTATTTTGTTTTTTTTACAATAATAAATGCACACTACGCAACTCTTTGCCATGAATTTGTTTGCAGATAAAAGTAACCACAAAGTTGCATTGTGTTTTATTATGACTTTTAAAAGTTTTGCCTCTGTCTCTTTCATTTATTCATTCATTGAACTGTTTTTATTTTTTCACAGAAATATGTGCTGTATCACGTCATTCAAAGAAAGAAATTGAATAATTCTTCAAACTTATTCGTCAAACAGCAAACCCAGCAATGAAACTGTATCAACTACTAAAGCATGATTAGTATTCAGGTTAGTTGTACATGAACTTATTCATAGTATTAAAATACTTTCATACATAATTAATTTTTTTCGTAGATATCATTAAAGAAGAAACAAGGTTTTACTCAATCTCCAAAAGATGGTTTTTCTAAGAATGACTCTAATTTCAAATTGGATTTTGAAATTATTTTAATTATCCAGGAATTTACAAGCATAATAATTATTATTTTTAACTTTTTTGGCAAAAATTAATGATAATTATAAGTTTCTATAATTTCACCCGGTTAGCGCATTGTTCCTGGACAGTTGTCCGGAGTTAGGTGTAACTGTTCCTGGAAACTATCCTTAGGGATAGACACTATGAATAATAAGTAGTTTAGCTTAATTAATGATTAATGAATAAGGGGGAGGGATGTCAAGGAGCTATGGAGGCTCACTCAGGAGCTTGCTCAGGAGGCTGAAAGCCTGAAACATCAAGAAAGGCAGCTCAGTGGATCATGGTTTTTCAAATCACGAAGTGGATGGAGTACTGGTTAGTATCTAGTAGGCTTACATGTATATAAACATTATCCAGTAGTCAATTACTGAATATATATAATCTATTACTATTAGTCGAGCTATTAGTACTTATGGTTGCTGTACAAGTTGCAGCCAGTCTTTAACTGTTCATTTGATATTGTTCCTTAGTCCTTGTCCATGCATATTATGTTTTTACAGTTGAAATAATAATAATAATAATAATAATAATTATTATTATTATTATTATTATTATTATTATTATTATTATTATTGCAGTAAAGCATTTTACTGTTACTATTACAATAAGCCATTGTTATTAATAAAAAATAATGTTGTAATTTAAGTGGTTTTAAGGTGTCTGTGCATTGGATATTTTTGCCGGCATGAAGTTTTTTAGAAAAGCATCAGTCATTGGGCACAGGATGAAAAGCCTCTGCATTGATTAGTTGTTTCCAGCTATACTTGTTGTTGTCACTCATAGCATATTGCTATACATGTAATACCAGTCTGTGTTGTATTATGGGAATTACATTATACTGAATTACTTCATGATGTTCACAAAAACTCTTGCTTTTACTATTATGCTACTTTACTTAGTACCCTGTAATCATTACTATTGCCCCAGGGTGTTGTGTCTGTGCACCATATGGTTTGTGTCTGTGTGCATAAGATTTACAAGCAGCCATCAATCATGCAGTCTAAGCTAACTTGCAATGTGGTATTATAATAATCCTTATAGCTGTTTATGCATCTTGTAATAGTATACTGAATAATACGCAATCTTGACATGTATGTGTGTTGTTAATAAGTACTTAAGGGTGGAAATATTGAATGTTGTTTTACCAGCACAATATCTCATTTTGATATCACAATAATTACTAATAATTGTGTTCATCAAAGCTGTTACAATAACAATGATCCTTTGTAATGGTTCCTAGCCTAGAAAATCCAACACAGTACATGTAACTTAGTCTGGATTAGTAGTGGTACCTTTTACATCACACTTGTGCTAAGGGTTACGATATTTGATTACATGTACCACTCACATGTATAGTAAGAAATGATTATATTCTGTTAGCTACAGTATTATCATGATAGTCACTAAATACCTTAGAGTGACTTTTAATTGCGGGTACGAAATTTTGGGATTTTAGCCCAAGGTAGATTTTGCTGGTATTAAAAATTGCGATTAAGTAATTATTACTAATAGTTATATGGCATCATGATGTCATTATTAATAATTGCGCGTATTAATAATTGCGATTTTTAACCCAAACGCAAAATTCGCAATTAATAGTACCCGCATTTAAAAGTAACCTTAAGGTACTGATATATTGCCCATCCTTATTGGTACTGCATTTCTCTATTCTCATTGTTGTGTTCCTTGACCCCTATTCTTGTATATCTTAATTTGTCTCGTATTGACATTTCTTCCTCTCTTTTGCCTTCTCTCCTCCTAGTATATGTACATGTACATCTAACTTTTGCTCTTTCTCTTTTCTTTCTATATAGGATTCTCCTATCTCTTATGTTCTTTGTCTTCTTGTGCATAATACAGTTCCTTACTGATACTATAAGCTGTGTTAACACATGTACGTCAATGTCATGTTTTTTATGTTATTTATTATTATAGTACATTTTTGGATTACAGACGCATTGCGTGTCAAGAATCAAGATTCCATTTCCGGCAAAAGATGTGGGAGCAGAACTATCCTAACAACATGATGGTAAGACACAATTCACAATACAGTGCATGTTTTATTCAGTGCATGTACACATGTACAGTAAATGAGAGATAGTGAGTGTCCTTTGGTCAGTAATAATTGATGTATCATTTATTGTACAGGAGAATGGAATTAAGACAAAAATAATGCTAAGAATATTCAGAGCATGTCCAATTTGAACAAGTACAATGTTTAAACATCAAAATTACTTAAAATTACCATCTCTTTTATCTCTCTTTTAGTGCCGTTAACTACTCATAATCAATAAACAATTTGTTCCATGGACATTAACTTATTACTTAGAGAAAAGGATGTGTTGAGATTAATATGCACTAATGCAATGGTAAGTGGTATGTTGTGTACATGTACATGTATTTGAGTCAATTGATTACTGAGTAACTGTAATGGTAATTGTCACAGGCCTATGTCACTGACTATACATGTATTCTTCATTATGTCTCAGATAAACCCATTAACAATGACATTGCCTTCTGAGCACAGATGGCAATACAGTTACCATTGCCATTACTATTACCTTTGTAATAACAATTCAGTGCTGTACACCTTTCTCTCTTTCCTCTTTTTGTTTCTCTATCTCTTTAGTGTCACCATTTTCTTGATGCATCAAGCTTAGGAGATACTGAGGTCATCAATGAGTCTTGCATTCAAGTGAGGTCAATTATACATTTTCCTTGTTTACATTTCTTTTCATGTTTATAGGGTTGCTGTCTTTCAAAATTAGGACACTGTACATAAACTTGCATTTTTGTGTTCTTTTTATAATGTTGTAATTGTTTTTGTTACCTAAAATAATTATTCTTTAATACTATAATGCAATAGCAGTCCATGAACTGATGCCACAATGCTAGAAAAGCCAAAAGCTGTCTAGGCAAAGTTGTTCTTCACTTGATCCAGGGATGAGAAATTTACCTATTGGCTCATTGTAGTTGGATAATGGTAATATTTTTTAAAAGTCTGTTAGCAGTGCAATTCCGATTGTTGTCTGGTATCAGCAGGTAGGTATGCAAATTTACTTTTTTTGAAAAATAAAAGTACTAAATTTGAACGAACAACTACAGAGATAATCAGCTAAACATACTTTCTGCATACTTAATAAGGGGGTGGGGCTGA